TATTTGCTACCTTACTATATTTTTTATTTCAAATAATTATAATTCTTGATAAACATTTTATACGGGTCAGTTATACTATGCTTATATTGTAAATATTACAAATAATATGGCAACATTTACTATAAAAATTATATTTCTAACTATAATCTTTTTACTATGCCATTATAGTTCCAAATATCATACATTTTTCTCTCAGTGTGAAACGTCTTCGTATCATATTTTTTTTTCGAAATAACGGATTCGATCGGTTTTTCGAGATCTCACATTCGGTGATCCTCGATCGATGACCGAGTGTGTCTCATCCTCTTTCTCCCTTTCTCTCTCTCTCTTTTTCTTCACTTCGCGAAGTCAACGGCTCGTTCGTTTAAATGTTGCTAAAATTAATACGCTCCTTAGTCATCCGCGCTTCCAGAAGTGATTCGTGGAAGAGCACGTGGCTTTCGATAAACACTCACGCTGTTCAGTCCCGTGTAGTCTCTTTACTTACACCAACCAGTCTCGTGCGCGAGAAGCTCCGAACATAATTTACTTATCTGCTTAATATCGTTACACGAGAGGTGCTTGTTATATTAAGAGCTATCGTTAGCGATAATTGTATATACAGGGTGTTTGAAAAGAGCTTCGGAACGATCTAATGTGCCGGGAAGAAAGTACTTTAAAAAAAACGTTTCGGACAAAAGTTATAGTGTTTAAGAAAGAATCTATTCTGAATAGTTTGACGTTCGTTAGCGTTGTTATATCATCTTGAAATTTTTTAATTGAATCAAGGTTTTTTTTACAAATCAGTTCCTAAAATCATTTTGCGTGTAAAATCACCGAAAAGTGAATACTTTCCGAGATATTTCACATTTCATTCTGACACTTTTTGGTATGAGAGATATGAAATATCTCGTAAAAAATACGTACGTATATAATCAATAGTTAATCAATTATATAGTATATCAATAAGTCAGTTTCTTTTGTCTTGTATTAGATTACAGAGGCCTTGTAATAAATGTGTTGCTCCGTTAATAGAACGAAAAATTTACATTACGTATAGTATGTAAATTTAATGATTAATTCAGAATAGAACGCATTTGCCTTATAAGTATAATTAAAAAACAAAATGATCGCGAAGTTCTCAACATCGATTCTTACCTCATGTCGTAATAATCATAAATAGTATATCCGAGTAGTTACATTATTAGATATTATTGAATCCAGTAAATGTTTCCAAGATCCTGCAGTCTTGAGCGATTCAGTTCGACTGCATAGATATCACTTTAGTCGACACATTTCTTTCTCATTCATTCGCGTTTTTTTTTACCCGTGTTTTCGCAAAATAAAATCTGCCGTCGTGATCGAGACGAGTCGTGTGCATAAAAGCAGCCAAGACATTAAAAGATCGCATGTATGACGCGTCGTTTGCGTAACGATCGATCTGCGTAAAGATGCAGGAGATTTTTTGTCGCCCCGGAAAATCGTTTTACCCGCAATTATGTTATGATTATCGATCTCGAGTAGCATGTGGCGATTCGCGCTGCACGACGCAATTGAATCAAGTAGGGGAGACCGGGACTAGTTGGCTACCGGAGTAAGTTGGCGCAAAGTCGATTATTTCTAGTATTTTCTAACAAGTTGCAGAATTAAGCGAAAGGGATTTCTAAACATGTCGAAGATGGCTTTGAGATCTCTGCTCGCTTGATTCTGAAATCTGTTAAAGAACAGCAGCAAATAATCGATTTTGCCAACTTACCCCGTCAGCCAAACAGCTCTGATCTCCCCTACGTGGCGCGCTCGCTGTTATAAATATGCGCAATGAATTTATTCGCCGGCAATTAACCAGCTCCCATTACTTGCAACTACTGAGGAAAGCCGCACCGCCGAGACCCGCGAAGACCGTCAAGGATGAAGTCTGCCGGGGAACACGGCGAAAAATGCCGCTTCAAAACAACGTTTATCCAGTTGGACTGGATTCTAATTTATTGTTGTTTCGTTAATTAGAATGCAAATCAGACGGGGATCGCCTATATCCGACGCCGATAAGGGATCACACGCGACGCGCCGCGCGACGTGCCTTTATAGGAACCACTTTCAGGACTGTGAGTGAGGAATCGCGTTGTTTTTTTTCTTCTTTCCTTCCTTCTTTTTTCGCAAATAGCGGATCAAGCCTCGGGAGACTTGGGCGCTCACGAACCTGTCCCACGTCGCCTTCTCTTTCCTTTTTCTCATTTTTTTTCTCGTTCGACCTGCACCTTTCTCTCAACCCCCACCCCATCCCCCTCTCTCGCTCTATCTCCCTCTCTCCTCCTCGGTATGTTTTCTTGCTTTGTCCCTCCCCTTCTATTTCGCCTGCCGGCGCGGCTTGCTTTCGAACTCTAAGTAACTGTACTTGCGTTTCCTGTATCTCTAAATTGGTAACGCGATCCAGCCAAGCCGTAGCGGCGCACGGCCAATCGAACTGTATCGAAAGTCAGGATATGCCTCGAAGAGTATACACGGAACGTGGTGGTATCTCATCATCCACACACGTGCCGTCTCGTACCGCGTACGTACGCTCAAACGCGGCTAAGGATGTCGCAATGCATACGTAGGGTGGTCTGTCCAGTAAATGAACGCTTGAGGTCTGTAAATGAATGCTTGAGCAACAAATTCCAATATACGAACAGGCGGAGCGAGGTTAACCTTCTGCGACGCATTTTTTTTGTTTTTACATAATCACATAATGGGGTTACCCGCAGTTATTGATTCAAACCACAAAGTGCGCCACATACCTTGAAAGATATCGAAGTACCGACCGGACATCGTAAAAATTCTCGCGCTTCTACGTCATTTTATTGCATCGATTCAGAAGCTCTTTTGCACACATTCTGGGACACTGCGCTATCACAATGTTTTTACCGAAAACAAGAAAAAAATTTGGAAGTCAGCTGTTGATCTAAGATTTCCTAAAGCAATTTGTATTTTACACAAAAATTCGATTAGCAAAAGAGAAACAAAAAGCAGAAAATGCTTTCAAAAATATATTTAGAAGCTCACTCTTTTAAAATGAGTCAGTCAAACATCACTGAAAACAGTGAATATACACTGATTGCAGTTATAGCACTGAAAGTGCTCAGTGCTATACTCATAAATGATATCAGTGATTCACTGATTCACTGATTCACTTTAAAAGAGCAAGGAGAAAATACCACATGTCAAGACAAATCGCGTACATAAATTACATAATTCAGATACACGCAAAAAAGAGCAATTTGGCATTTACATAGTAATTCGCGGATACTGTGTTATACGTACATACGAACTTAATGCGTCAATATGAAGTCAATATGAAGTCAAACGAAACATCATTAATGCCTCTTATCTCAGTATCTTATCCGCGAAATACTACTACACTGAGAGAAAAATATGGCTCCCAACAAAACTGTTTTGTAATTTTATAACCACCCATATAGTTAGAATAACCATCTTTTTAATAACACTATTTAAATAGTTAGAATAACCATTGTTTTAGTAAGTGTTATTAGAAGGATGGTTATTCTAACTATTTTTGTAGTTAAAATTACAAAACAGTTTTGTTGGGAGCGAAAATAACCATATTTTTCTCTTAGTGTATACGTGTATACGTGTAGTATATAGGCTGCGTTCCGAAATTACTGTCAGTACTGAAAATCTACAGTATACGTGACATAAACTATACATTTTCAGTATTGGCAGTGAATATCGGAACACAGCCATAGTGTACTGCTCCTTTTTACTTACACGATTTCTGAGAGAACTTGACGTCCTCTGAATATTACAATAAATATTGCAAACTGTTCATTCACTAGATGGCGTCCAATTACTGAACAGGTCACCCTATAGCGCACATACATCGCATATGGGAAGGTTTGTCCTAAAGTGACACTCTTCGCTGCAACGAAGTGTGTTTTTCCTTGATATAACGCGAGAAGCAGCATTCCTGAGCGTCTGGATTATGTTCGTGCGTGCTGATAACGTTAAATTACATAATATGTGACCACGAGTGGTCTCTCACGATTGTTTTGCGAATGATGGCGCGTTTTCCCGTGTCTCGTTTCTTGCGTAAAGTCTTCGAAAAACATTCAACACTTTTCAGTGCGATCTTTTTGCATGAATTTATCTTCCGATATCTAGCACACACTTCTGTTTCTACTTAAACGCTTCTGTTTCTACTTAAAAAAGCAGAAGTACTTTAGCCTTGGGAGAAAATATACGTCTGTCGGATTCTTCGTGTAACATAAGTCGAACGAGAATTACCAATATACATCGTATCGGTACTAAGTATTTAACTGTTTCGTTTTATTCATAACTATATCTCTTGATACATTTTCACCTGACTGCTGAAGAAAAATAGTGTATTTGACAATTTAGACGATTTTTTATGTGTGTGTGTATATTTGTGCTCCTGTAACTGCACTGATTTTCGTGAAAAGGGCATCAAACGATTTCTCTTAATTCCGCGAGTGACTGAGCATAAAACTAAATGATTTGGAAAAAAACTAAAAGCTACAAATAGAGAAGATGAAAGTTATAAAATTATTTATTACTTAAATGAAAATAAAAGTGATAAAATTATTGTTACTGTTTGTTTACTATCTTACTGATGTTTACAGTCAAACAGTCTTTCACGATATCTTTCTTTCCTCATAAGATACGTATATATCTTTTGTACCAATACAGCCCTAAAGGGAGACTGAAATGATTAAGCTCTATACGTTTTCATTTAAAAAGTTTCTTCTGATCTTCATAGCTCATTTGCTTCATAATGCTAAGATCTAATTTATTTCGATTTAATTCAGGACAGAGCAACTACTGTAAAAATACTCGGGAGAGAGAGATAGCGCGTAATTATCTTTAAGACTTTTATTGTGTTTTTAAGAGAAAACGCGGAATTGTTCCGAATAATTTCATAATATCTGCCTAGCTTTCTTAGCGCAGTTCTGAGTAAGCCTTGGATGGCTGGATCACAGAGTTCACATTCTTCATGTTCTGATCCGCAGGTGAAGGCTGCGTCGAGAAGCCCGTGTCGACCCTATGGCGAAACTACGTAAGCAGCAGTAGGCCTGATGTCTCTATGAGGTTAACAGTCACTAGCGGTGGTCTCACCGCAACCACGAAGGACCACGGCCTGACGGAGTACTGGGCCCATCGTGTGACTTATTGCACGGCCCCGGCTTCCCATCCGCGACTCTTCGTCTGGGTTTACAGGCACGAAGGTCGCAGGCTCAGGCCCGAATTGAGGTGCCATGCCGCTCTGTGCAGCAAGGAATCCACCGCAAGGAGGCTCGCCTCGATCTTGAATACTCGGTTGCAACAGGCGCTCTTGGAATTCCGCCGGGACAAGGTCTCGCGGCAAAACGCCAGGTGAGAATGACAATGTAGCGTCGTTATACCATTGTGAGAAAACCAGAGAAGAGGAGAATGAATTGTGAAGACTTGTCAGAGTTAACCACGAAGGGTATAAATATTTTACCAAAATTCCTTTGGCTTTCTTCCTGTCACTGGTGATGGTATAAGGACAGGCAGGCAAACCGGAGTCACAGTTGGTTTTGCATAACAAAGATATTAGGCGAGATTAGCAGATATTATTTGAAGTTAAAAAAAGATGGTGAGGTACAGGAAGTGATGACAAAGGTCTTAGAGGTGTCATTATCGATGTGAATCTGTCACATAAAAACCCGACTTACACAAAAAGAAGAGTTCTGGACGTTGTTTGTATCCTGTTTATATCTACTTAAGGTGAAACACTCAATTACTGATATCCATCTTAGTTGTTAACACCTTAAAAAACCTGGTTTTTCTTGCGACCATCTGTTGATAGTTTTGAGGTAGTAACCTGCTAAGTATCCACAAGAAAACTAAATTACAATGTCACTGGTCGCAAGAAAAGTCAGGTCAGATCAGTCAGATTAGGTTTTTCTAGAGCGTCAGTGACTGAGGATGTCGATAATTGGGTGTTTTACCCTGCATCATCTTTCCTCTTGTTTGTTAAAGGACGAAAGAATTATGTTCGAGTCAAACAAATAGCAATATTAAATCTAAAAAAATCGTTATCTGTGTGTGCGCGAGGCAATAATCTCTCACGAAAGATCAATGTCACACATGTACGACAGCAAAACATTTCTATGTCCATATATTATCAAACTAAGTCTGTTTTACACGTAGAAGAAAAATAAATAAACAAGTGATTTGTAGAGAGAATCCCCCAAATAAACCGTGGCAACGAACATGTTAAATCTTTTAAACTTAAAGAGAAAAAGATTTTGTTAAATTTCGTGTATTTTTAATCTTGTAGTTTGCATGCCGAATTTCTTCATTCGCGTATTTGTCTACTTTCAACATTCATTAGAATCGTGAACTGAGCTTTTTTTTTACTTTGCAGCGGTTGATGACGCGGCACGATTTCTCAAACGTAAAATTCTTCAAGTTTCCGTTAGGCCTATGTCGGACAACAAACGCGCGCCATTGCGAATTCCTCGCATTTTTGTCATGCCCCGATTGTTATGTCGTTATTATTCTCAGTTCTAAGAGTGTCTCTCCCGATTCTGAAATATCCGGGAGAAAAGAGAAATTGTCTTCGCGTTCCGAGAGATGACCGTGCGCGGTTACGCACGGTCGTGCATTCAGTATGAAGTCACGATTCCGGTCACGATTGTAGATCGTTATGCTCGCGATCAAGTCACGATTCAGGACGAGGCGACCGTCCAGCGATGTGCATTCGGGTCAGTGTTTCCAAGTCACAGGTCAAAAGCGTTTCCAATACTCCTGTTGGAATTACGATAAAGCGACTAGGTTGAGATTACGTTTCTCTCAAGAATTTTCCGTTTTATTGGAAAAATGGAAACGACTAGATAAAGAAAATTGCTGGATATTAAAGCACTTAGATTAGTATTAACATGTGGAAAACAATTCCCAAAACAGAGATTTTTATTATGTTACCGTAACCTTTGTGAACGTCAACTCGGGATAAACAAAATATTACACAGTTGCAGGAAAAGAAATTATTACGGAGGAAATGCGTGAAATAATAATTAACTATATCCATTGAGTTTCTTTAAATTTTCACGAACGAAATAAACAAGAGTTCGAATCTGAATTTATTGCAAATTCCGTGATTAAATATACAAAATGTGATGTTGCTGCAATTTTGTTTTTAGTGGTGAATCTAACTATTTATATGTATTATTACAGGTTGTCTCTGGCGAATGCGTTGTACGATAATCCATCGTTGCCGCGTAGGAAACTTCTTCTGAGTACCGGTGGCCAGAATTATCGACCGCCCCTGGAGAGGTCGAAGAGCGCGCCGAAATTATCGGCGATCGAGGAGGATACGGTGGCCGAAGAGATGGAGCAGCAGAGGTTGCTGGAGGAGCTGCGCTCACTGGAGAACGTAGCGCGTAGCTGGGAGGACCAAGACGGTTGGAGGATAGCCAGGCTTCTGGACGCCCTGAACCGCGAGTCCTCTGATGAGAACGGCAGTATCTCGAGCGGATGCGAGACTGCCAGCACGGCAACGAGCGAGGAGAGAGCTTCCGGCCCAGAAGAGCATCACGCGCAGAGTTAGTATAAATATTAGTACTCACAAGAAACTTTGGGAAAGAAACTCATCGCAGTTAATTATACTGATTTCTGAAGCAAGCGAGATAATATTCCTTTTAAAACATAGTTTTCTCTCTTTTTTTATTCTCTGTTTGCAACTCGATAACGTGTAATCCGAAATGCTGCTTTGAAATTCTATATTGTGAAATATTACTGGGAAAAAGTTACACAGGTGCAATAAACTCGAAATAACATATAGTTATACTACCTAATCGATATAATTAATATACGAAAGAGTGCGACCTACTTTGACTTCAGCACGCTAAGTTTCACCACGTTATTTTAACACCGCGAACTAGCCTCGTGGTTATTAAATATCGCTCATTAAATTGATTAATAACCACCAGATATCTGTTAATGTCTAGTACGGTTTTCAAAGCCTTGAGCACTTTACCGTCTCTTACGAAATGTACAATTAAATATTTTTGTTTACTCAATACAATTTTACCTGCGTAAAGCTCTTTTTAAAGGGGCGTATAAAACGGTTTGTGTTTCTTGACGTTTTGCATGATTATACAGCAAAAGGACAGTTGCTCGACAAGTTGTACCAATTGATGCGTGACGTAGAACGTGCGTGATATCGAAACTCGCTTACCTTTAAAATCCATCTTTTGCAGATCAAGCCGATCAACAGGGATCGATCAAGAGGGTCATTTTCGCGGATGACAGAGTCAGCAGAGGGCTAGGACCGCGAAGGAATTCGGAAGGCTCGCCTCATTTCATGACATGCGCCGGTAGTCCGCGTTTTAATCCCATAGATTCCAGAGAGAGGTTTCCCCTGAGGAGCGAGGAGGAGGAGTCGATGGAGGAAGAAGAGGAAGAAATGGAGGACACCACGTCGAACGTGTTCGACTTCGAAGATGTCGAGGACTTGGATGACGTAGTGGATTATCGACCGCGAGGCGAGATGTTGAGCAGAATCGAAGAGCCACAAAACACGGAGAGGCGAGCGAACGAAAAGTATCCTGGCAGAATAAGCCACGAGTTCCTGCAGAACGACGAGACATCATTCCTCACTCTGGATTCCCTCGACGAGGAGGCCGACAGCGACGAAAGCGGTTACGTCGAGGCACCACCAAAGTCTTTACTTGGTCAGGACGAAAGGAAGGAGGAAGAAGAGAGCGAGCGATTAGAATCGTTCAAGAATCAATCGTTAGATTCGATGACAATGTGTAAAAACGTGAAAGCTAACGATAACGAAAGTCAACGAACGAAACACGAGGATCCCAAAGTAGCAGACAAGCAGGAGGAGCGAGAGTCCCAAAAGGTAGAGAAGAAGGATTCTTTGTTGGTGGTCGACGACAATCAAAGAATAAAAGAAAGGGAGAGGGAAAGAGCGGATTTCAAGTATCCTATCTCGGAAACAATCAGAAAATTCGCTACCGCAACCCTGAGAAATTCCAAGTCTCTAGAGATGACGAGCAATAGTTGCATGAATGTCTTGAACAATTTCAAAACCTCAAAGTCGTTCGACAACGTGAAGAACGATGAGATTACTGTGGAATCGCCGAGTCTCCACCAAAGGAAGCAATTATTGGCACAACGTGGTGTCATGGTTTAAAGTCCTTTTTGAATCGCTTCAGTTACATATTATGGATTGAACGGAAATCAATGACAATCGAAGACATTTATCCGTCATTGAGTTTTCGCTCGGAAATACTTGTGACAATGTTTGTCGGAAATGCCGAAATGAGAGAGTGCGAATCGATATTCGTGCAAAAATGTGCCTGATCTACGTCCTTGATCGTTTTACTAAATTGTGTCAGCTGTTTCGTTTGTCAGACGAAAAGAGTATCTGATTACAAGCATCGTATTCATTATGGAGTCATTTTCCTTACCGCTCGTAGTGTATTCATAATACGCTGTAAAATATATGATATTATCCTCGGTGATGGATGTATCGCGTGTATTGTCATATTTATACCAAGGAAATCGATGGGATTTGAATAACGTTGAAGCAATATTTGAGACATGATTCAAGCAAACTGCTAGCTTTCGAGAGATCCGGCTGGAGTCTTCTTTCTAACGTATAGTTAGAAAAACCCATCATCGAGTTATAAAAAGGTGCTACTTAGTATCGGAACTAGACTCAGGCGTAATATTCTAAGGAGTGATAGAAATTACTAATGAATAAGTTTCTGTTTTGAATAAACTGTAACTGCAATGTCATCGCTTTATTATTCAGTAATAATATGCTGAATAATGTTCTATAATCATCGTAGACGCAAAACTACATCTAGTTCCGATACTGACATTACTACTGGTTGACAAGGAAAATATACCCATATTATAACGCAGGGCGGATGTGAAGATACAAGTGTAATATTGAATCTTTAATCGAATCTTTAATCTGTAGCACGATATAGTATGATATAAAATATAAAAACATCCTGAAGAACGATTGAAGAACGGATAAGTTCATTTCAATATGATGTATAATCACGATAAAACTCGGGACAAGCTAAATAACCTTTAGACACGTTTATGCCTCGTCGAAGTGTAACGAGCTTCATAATTTAGCAATACGATATTTCGGATCGTTACATCTTGCATGCTTTCATAAATGACAGATTCCGTAATAGAAGCCTGTTTGTCTTCGAAGATAGGGATCTACTGAACCGACCGAGTCTAGTAGTTATCGACAATGCCTCATGTCTTACCAATCATACGCGCATCTGACGCAGCATACTACTCGATAAACGGATAATAACTAATAAATCGGTAAACCTTCGAAGATTCATTTCGTGAGATACGAATGTCGTAAAATCAATGTAACCGGCGGTACAGTTGACAAAAACCGCGCGAATAATTGTATCTGTAATTGTAATTTTTCACAAAAATGGACATACTGAACGTTACTCTTATAAGAGTAAAACTAAGAGGAACGAATCGAAATTGCAACATGATTTTCCGCTCTTATTGCATTCACAAACATTTGAATTGCGATGTGTCTTAAGAGCGACTGAAAATGATCCTTTCGTAAGATTAGAATGTCGTGTATTATTTTTTAAGTTTCTTGGAGTGAAATTTCATTCGAACAGTGGAGTGACCGACGAGTAACTCGAATTTGAGAGAGAGAAACTCTAATTTTTCGCTCATAAAATAAATCCTCTACTCTGAATCATTGAGTGAATATTTTCATTCGAAATTGAAGAGCAAATCTGTAATGTATTTGATTGTTACACGAAATATATATTCACTCTGATCGATCGAAACATTCGCAAGAATTCATTCTAAGCGAAAATACCGCCACTTTTCATTAGTTTCGAATGAGATTCCATTGCGAGAAATTTAGAGAGAGTATGTCACTATTAAGAACATATTGATAGACAAGAGTGATTGCAAGTTTATTTTGACAAAGCGGCGACTTCACTTTGTCGCTTTAATATAATGTTAAGTTTATTTAAACAAGACGGATCGGTGGTGTACTCGTCGTTAATTCGGGTTCTGTCATGTGACTTCGTTACACCAAAAGCGAATAAGCTCTTTTCCTTTTCTGTATCGGTTGATTGCGAGATATGGTAATGTATAGCTAAATAAACTATTCGCGTGACAAAAAATAATAACTGCGTATTATTCCATCGGCTTGTACGCTATTACGGCGAAAGTCCACAGAACGTTACACTCGATATTAACATACGTTACCGCTGTGAAACGAGGTATATCATGGTCGCCGACGAGGTAATACTGAAGACCAGGTTTGGGTGTTCATGCGTAAATTATAATATTCTACGTCTACGTATATAAGCAAACGTAACAAGAATATATACGTGTATAAGCAAACGTAACAAGAACAATATATAAAATATATTTAAAGAATGTATGACTTGCTCAAAAAGTAATTAAGAAAAGTTGATAATTTTATTTAATCTTCAGAATCCTGATGCAAATTTACGGACGTTGTTTCCTGAACATGTTAGAGTCTACAGAATTATCTAGAAACATTCTTTTACCTACAGAGTAGGTAATAAATCTGACACGATATGAAGATTTCATGAAATTTATATTCATGAATTTTTGTTTAAACATTACAATTAATATCCAAAATAGATACTGCAACTATCTTATTGTTTAATTATTCTTTTCTGTATAGTTTAATGTAATTTACAAAATTCTATGTAGGAAGACTATATATCACGTAGACAGTGCGTAAATAATCTGTGTAGACGTAATCTTAGAATCTACATGGCACAACTCTACTAAGACCCGTTCTACAGTACGTCGTATGACGAATTCGGATGTCGCAATCAATCAGGAGAACTCGTCTCAGTCCAATCAGGAGAACTCGTCTCGAAAAACAAATCCTCTGATTGGCTCATCGACTGTGTTCCGACGTCCGACAGCGACACACGACGTATTGTAGAACCAGTTTAAGGGCCTTCACACGCAAATTGTCGTAGTCGTAACCTAACATGTATCGTAAGAACAATCATGTTGAGAATTGTCGAATCGTAAAGTAGCCATTTCTAGGAATATTCGATCGTAATTGGTTAATTTTTATGATATGTCTTACGTTACGGCTACGGCAATTTGTGTGTGAAGGCCTAAAAAGTAATAACTTTAAGGGCCGGTTTTTCAATAGCAGTTTAAACTTGGATTCAAGTTTAAACTCTATTCTAACAATGTATTTGTTTTGTTTAAACGGAGTTTGAGTTGAAATCTAAATTTAAACTATCATTGAAAAACCGATCCTAAAAAATTTAGCATAAAAATTTCACTGCTTAGTGACCTTCTGTCGGTAAATGTTGCGTCAAATTGCCGTAAATGATAACTGTAGAAATGCAGTTTTATAAAAATATGTAATATAATTCATTGTAGATCCGTATACGTAGTGATCTGTAGATTATAAAATTAATAATCCGTTACATATTGGATATCCAAACATTTATATCGAACTAAAAATGATCGATAACATCAACCTTCTTCAATTACCATCGAGTCCCTTAACAATTACGAAAATTTACTCAGAGCCAGAACACAAGGTCTATAGTATTACTTCGTCAGTGTAATAGTTCACACATATAGTATAGTGTACGTTGTCGGTAAAACGAACGTACGAAATTGAACACTATCAAAGTTTTGCTGTTGACACGAGACTCGCGATGCTTTTTGTGCCACATTTTACGGCCGAAGGCTTCACTATGACGATCATTGTGAAGAAAAAGGAGAAAAGGGAGGAAAGATAGAGTACTCCAATAAAATAAAAAATGAAAGAAAAATTCTTGAAAGGTCAGAAACCATTCTGAAATCCTGCCGCTCCCGATCCGTGACGTCGCCTCTCGCGTTGGCGTACAAAATTGCATCTAAAGCACCGTCGTGACCAAGTAGACGAGTTAGTCGATAATTACGGATAGCGTGCGCCGCCGGCAGAAAACGCAAATTGCGGTTTTTAAGGTCTCCTTAAAAGCAGGAGTCTCCGCAACGAATCCAGGTCGGACGATCGAACAAGAACGTATGGTCGACGACCCTGATCGATTTTTCCTTAGTACATGCTACCGATGATTTACCATTTTGTATTGTCAAAAACAAATTCGTTTGAATAATTCACGAGTATCGTATTATTCATTTTTCATACTCACGTCTCAGTCTCTCAACGTTTGATGAACAATTTTTAATCATAGTGATTCGTTCACAGGGTTTAGGATAAGGAAACTATAAAGTCTTGTGTCTGTAGGATCGAAGTGATTTTTACGAAATGTAATTCCTACGGAAAACTTATAAGTAGAGATGAAAATGAGTTGTGACGGTAACTTACTCGATAAATTACGGTAAATTATTCGGTATTTTTGGAAAGCTAGTAAAACAATAATTTAAAAAAAATTACAGAAATACAAAATTTTAATATGAAGCTCAAAAGATCTTTAGCCTTATTTAGCCATCAAGATGGGTAAGATACTTTATTTAATTCATATTTTCCATAAAATATTTTGATACTGTATATTAATATACTATATATAATATATAATAATGAGAAAACTAGATACACACACACACATAGTAATTAGGGAAACTTAAAAAAATTTGTTAAGTCTCAATCTATATTTTTTATATCATCACAGGCTTACAGCATTTTTATTTATTACTCGGCTGTTTCAGCAACCAGATTGTGATGTATAATTTAAAATTTTAGTAGTATTTTGAGAAATGAAAACTTTAACTTTAACTTTAAACTTTCCTTTCGAAAGATTGTAAATAGTTTCCTTTGTTTCATCTGAGAGACATTTCAGAGATTATAATATATATATATATATATATATATATATATATATATATATATATATATATATATATATATATATATATAT